CGATAACCACTGTTAACGGTATGGGCTATTTTCTCCGTAGCTTGATTAGTGCGAAAGCGCAGAGCATCTGTGTTGCATAAGCCAGCGTCGTACTTACGTGTACTTGAAAGGATTTCATGTCAATCGTCATCTCAAAAAATGAACTTATCCGAAAGAGCAATTTCAGATTTAGGAGACAGGCACGCAAAGCGTGAATCAATATGGATGCAGATGAGTGTGTCTCGTGTTCAATTTCGTAGTAACAAAAGGTGGGTCACAAACTAAATAACATTATTACCAGCTGCTTATCGATTCTCATGAGCAATGTAGAGCTCATCGAAGAATATAACAGGGACAAATAAGCATTTTATTGCAGTGACAAACGGCGTCCAACAGTAATTAGCTGGAATGAAAACCGGCCACGGTTTGTGGCTGGTCGCACGCGAAAGCTCATCTTGCAAATTACCAAACGATGCATGTTCGCGCACAGTGATCCACAAGCTAAGTGCGTAGTTGGCGAGACAAAAAGATTTTTGGTGGGGACGTGTAATGGATTATGATTAGAATACATGTGTCATTACAGTAAAAGTCACAGCTTCTCCACAATGCTTTCCACAATGCCAATGGATGACAGTACCAGTATGTGAAAGAAGTCGGAACATGATGCTTGGTCACAGAATCCCAGTTAGTGATCGAAAGAAAATGTGTACAATGAAGAATAACAGCTTATGGACAACGGCGTTCATATTTTGGCAAAGTCCGTGTGTTGTAAAGCTGCCTTCGTGCTGCTGCACTGCTGCTATTCTGCGCCTGCGAGACTGCGACCGACGGGTTGTTCAGTAACGCGCCCAACCAACCGACAGGATACAGCAGGCCAAGGTTCGGTAAACAGAGAGCCTACGCTACACGATAGGCCACTTCTATTTATTGATGAACGAAACACTAATTTTGGACGTGTTTGGCTCTCAGCCAATGTGAGTTAATTCCGTCCCACGGGTTTTCCATATTTGGCAGAATGGTCCACCTCCGTTGACTCGGGCTTGTATTTGCTGACCAATCAGTTTGCACCCGATTCCCAAATTTGGCAAAACCATCGAAGGTCATTCCACGCTCGTGCTGGTGACCTTCACATGCAGCAGACAGCACCCCTGCTCCTCGGTAAGCCTGTACGCTACCTCGTATCCGGATATTTGCTCCGCTTACCTTTCTATTACCGTGTTAATGCTGCGTGATTGTTTCTTCGGTCATTCCGTTTCCAGCGGTGCACAAGTCCACGCGTGTATAGAACAGTGCTTGGAAGTAACGATTAACTACCCGTTGTGGACGCCATACCTAATTACGTCTCCGGATGTGGTTTAACAACGTAATAGCACTACCAATGTCCTCAGCTATGCCTAGTCTCTCCGTCGAACTTTGTGGTGGAAGTGTAGACCTGATATTCACCTAGTCAACAGCATTTCTACGAATGTGGTTAATTGTGTCTCCGGAGGACAATGCAGACAACATTAGGCTTTTGTATTGTTTATGATTAAATATTAGTTATTACCTACTCGAGACACTGTACTTCACGTGCAGGTTCATATAAGCTCGTATTCGTTAGCTAGATATATCAGAAAGACGACCTGAAATCAGCAGACAGAGTGTCAACGGACGTTGCCCCCCACCAGATCAACGATCCGCGGTTGCCGCTTGAAGCAAACGCCGATGAGATCAGTTGAGATTGTGTTTCGCATGATTATCACTCGACCGGTGATTCGAAATGAACTTACAGTGAGTTGTCGATGGTCGAGGCAAGTGTGCCCAGCAGCTCGGTTGGCGGCATCTAGTTTCCGATTGGCCTATCACTGTGGCCAGCCACAGGACGCCTGCGCCTACTGAGAAACCATGGATATCTTGCACTGTACCATGCATATCTCCAACCACACACCCCATATCCAGTGTAAACCCGAAGGAATAAGACCGGGAGGCATGTGGATGGGAGCCAGGTTTAATCAACGGAGTCGACCCGCACTCCTTCACAGGCAAACACAAGCACACTGTTTTTGGGGAATCAATTGCACACAAGGCGGTGGTTGGACCGTAGTCTGCTCCACACTGAGTGCATGGAACCACTCTTCGAGCCTAGCATGACCATAAGGACCTTGCACCTCATCCCCTCCAGTAACGACAAACTGTCTCCTGGAGCCAGATGGACGGGGTAGTGGGTAATAGACAGGTAGGCACCTTGTCAACATTCACCTCAAGCGCAGCCACGCCGGGGATATCAAACAACAGTCAATCACTTTGAGGTGTTAGTCCCTCGCCTGAATGGACGCTTGATTCCCAATCAAAACCCGAAGTCGCTGGCCCCCCACAGGACAGAGAGAAAACCGGATCGGACGAACAGTGCAATAGGGCTGTATCAGCGAAGCATACCGTTCATTATATAGATGAAATGGCAAGTTCGTGGATGGTGTTTAAAGCGTTTGTGGAAAGCTCTGGAAAGGTAAACTAAGAGCAAATCAAGGAACATTGCCCTCGCGTTAATTGGACGGTTCTTCCGGTTGGCTGTCTGTTCGCGCCAATCAGGACGGGTGAGTTTTGGTCGCCTGCTGCGGCGATGGGATCCTGGCTTGTTTGCGTCGAGTATTCCTTCTTAACACACTTGAAATGACATTGTCAAATAAAGTATGCCTGTTACAGCATACGGTTATGCCGAGATAACTCTTCGCTAAATTGGTATATGAAGTAAGTTGGTTAGCAGCAAATCCTCAATGCTTACAAAATGTTCAGAAGTTATTCAACAAATGCCACAAACGCGATAAAGTTAACGAATATAAGCACCATAATTGTAAGCACCGAGTGCAAGTTGATAAAAGCTTTTTCAGGTAGGTAAAATAAACCAAATAAAGTGGAATGAAATGTATCCAGCTTAAAAAGACCAAGGTGTAAGTGGGTAAGTGGGTAAGTGGGATTAGCCCAACTGCAGTGAAGTGGCATCATGAATGTAACGTCAGCCACAGCTTGGGGCACAGCTCGGTGATATACGGGTTTGTGTGTAGGCTAACAACACCAACGTCTTGTTACTTCTGCCTACCGCAAACAAGGATGGAGTGCAGCGTTGTGTTGTGGCAAAAATTACCGCTTATCTTTATCCATTGAGCCAACTGACCAAGGTGGTGAATTACAGTCTAGACTGAGAATACTTACCACAATCCGTTCACACAATCGGTGATTCAAATGAGTCCGGAATGCGACAGCTACTATGAGTAAGCACCTCTTGATGGCTTGGTATGAGAGCTGCTTGTCTATGCCAAGATCGGGTAACTAAAGGTGATTTTGGGCATTACGTGACTGCCTAGCACCGATTCGCAATTTTTTGCAGTATGTACTGAACAGGTTAATTCAAATGGCGCTTGCACTGTTCGCTGCGCTTGGCAATTTGGTTGCAAACGTTTCGTCACCAATCGAGGTGACATCACCAGTGCGTAGTTGAGTGGCGTGCAGTAGCGTAGAGGAGCGTCGGTGATGTCACCTCGATTGGTGACGAAACGTTTGCAACAAAATTGCCAAACTCAGCGAACAGTTCAATCTCCATCTGAAGAACTTGAGCTACCAATGTTCAATTCTATAGTCAAATGAATTCAAATATGGTCAGTATACGCCTTATGTACCTAACTGGGTGCATTTTACATTAGAAACTCCAAACGCACCAAACGGGTACAAATGGGCGGAAAGTGAGCAGAGACCACTGGGATAACTCGATCGACTAACGATCCAATCACGCTGAACTAAGTCTGCGAAATTTTCATCCATTCAAAAAGAGAAAAGGTTTCCTTAAACCCTTACTTCATAGTTGGTTACAGTTGACGTAAGGTTTTTTGACCAGACGATGGATGGGGGATCGTGCGCGAAATCTCCGCGTTTAAGTTCAAAATGTTGAAGTAGTTTAGTATCAATGATCTTGGGAGTTGCTGGAACAAAACACCTGTCAGCTCATTCTTGAAAATATGGTATATCAACAGTAGATAAGGTAAAAAAAGGAGGTTTTGAGGAAAAGGCAACGGCCAATTTATAGGCCCCGTTACGACGTGTACTTCTTTGGTAACCCAACATAGAATTTGGTCGAGGAGAGTAGTTAGCTGATATTAGGAACTTTAACAGTCTGAGGAAACATGTGCAACTATCCAACCAAATATTCTGCTCCTTCGCGGCACGTTAGTCGCTTGCTTCGTCATGTAAATCGTTCATCTTTCTGCTTGCACAATTCCATCACAAAATCCATTCAATAGAGGTTGCTTCGTAGCACATGAATGAAGCAACAGATAATGCTGCTGAGGCCAGACGGTGTGCAGTATCCAATAACTCGATATTTAAAGCACATAGAAAGCAATAAACATTTAACGATTGTTACGTTTGGGTTGAACCCGCTTTTGGAGTCAATCAGGGCTGTATATGGAGGTGTGGTGCAAATACGCCGGTTGATTGGCATACTAATTGATTCACAGTTGACATTAGTTGTGATCTGCTCCACAAGACCCAGTTTACCACATGGTCATCTGCGATGGACCTTGAAATGTGCCATCACTTTTCCCCTCCGGAATTAAGACGACCGATACATGTTATTCAAATTTCTGGCCACATGCTTTGTAGAACCATACCAGCGTTTAAGCAAACTTTAACTGCTACATACTGGGGCTTGGTTGTTTGCAGATATTTGGCACATGCTATTATTCGGATATCGTTCATTCGTCAATGACCCTTAACACTGCTACACAAGGTGTATGCACACGCATCCTTCTCCGTTTCGTAGAGCCCGCTATTCACCTATTCGGCCAGCATAACTTGCCTCATTTAGTGGACACGCTAGCCGTCAGCCACTACACTATACGATAGGGGATATATATATCAACCTTCCGCAACTAGAAATAACTCGGACAGCGCACATCACTTGAGGTTTACTGGCTGTAGTTTGTCTTTATTTCGTTGATGAGTGGCAGGTCTGTACAGTTATGCATTTCTGCTCATGCTGCCCATTACAGGTACTGGTGTCCATAAGTGATCACTTGTTTGGATTACGATGCCGTTTTGCTCTGTGTGCACACAAGGATTGTGTCACCAGCGTCGTCGTCCTACCTCCGAAGCTGAATCCATCAGGAACATTTGTTCTGGTAAGATTCTGCCTTTGAGGTCACTGACGAGTTCGGCTTTGCTTCGATAACGTGCTTACTCCATACAAATTGTCGTTCGCGTACTGCCATTGTCCTAAATTTGGCACAAGTGGGAAACCGAGATTATGAAACAATTGTTTACAAACAAGCTCGTTTTCAGTGGTTCATTATAAGGCGGATACACCAAGAATAAATGGCGTAAACATAATCAAGTGGACTTAGTGATAATGCTTTGAGGGAATGCTAATCAAGGACGTCAAGGTGCATATTAAGGCATGGTGAAAGTAATGGGTAATGGAATCCAAATCCCTATTATTATTACAAAAATTGGGGCCGATTTGTGCCAATCCTGGCCTACTTCAAATGACCTGATTGAGTTCAGCAAATTTATCATTCTTGTTAGTCCAACCCTATTCGTTTCTCAGTGGGCCCCTTAACTGGTATTTTACGAAAGAAATTCTTTGGGCGCTCACTTTTGCATGGACTCGGTTTCGTCGATTCTCAGTTCAGAAGTTATGCACCTTATTCATAAATAATTATTCATATTGTTGACCCAAGGCACCCAAGACATAGCCTACTCGCCAAATCGGCATTCCCTCAAAGGATCGCTCCATTTCGGAAATGAACCTACCGAATGAATCAACAACAATCCCTACCCCCTTATGATTACTCGCCGTATCCTTTCACAACCGTGACGGGTGTCTAATTGACAGCAGTGCACTTTAGCCGCCTGTCCGTCGCTTGAACCCGCGGCCGGGGGACCTCGCCAGTGAGGCAAGATCAATCAGACACTGAATGGTTGCTCAGCCCCTGGTATGCTTACCCCAGTTGTTCGCGGTGGTGGTGATAGGCAGTAAATAAATAAATAAATACATAACTGGTAAATTCCTCGGTGATTCGAGGTGCAGTCCAACTATGTTGTCTGATCAATGTGTACGACAGGATCGCAAAAAGTAATCAGTTTGTTCGCGCTTTTTACAACGCATCCAAAACGGTTATTTAAGCAATTGGCTGGATTAAGGTACTAAAGAAATTAAAAAACCAGGAACAATGACATACGTAGATCTAAACAGATGTCCAGTTAAAGTAATACGGCCACTCGTGGAACCGCCCCCAGGGGACCTGCTTCCGAGCAAGATATTCCCTTCAAAGGTTTCGCACGCACTTCTATGCTATACCTGGCCGCGTGCCGGTGTGGCATAGTAGCATATAAGCCATCATCTATTTATCATATGTTGTGATCTTTTCAGGGCTGCTTTTATACATGTATTATGAGCGATGAAGCCTCGGCCCAGTCAGTCATGTGGATCACTCAATTATGGCACTTTTTATACGGCAGTCAATTTGTGGCAGTGTGCCTTGTATAGGTAAAGTCTTTTCCGATCTGGAAGGAATAACCCATCACCTCAAGAGATCAGCCTACTCGCGGCCAACAATGAAACAAGGAAGAATGTAGAAAAGAAGAATTATGTGAAAGAGGTACTATATCGTTAATGTAAAAAATAGGCAGGTATGTTTTGTACATCAGCGTAAAAATGGATCGAGCCGATCATCCGATCATATTGTGTGGCGTGACAGCCGGAGACAGATAACTGTACGAGTTGTCCGTAGGTAAAAGTCACATGGGGAATCCGTTGTTACCATCAATGAATTCAAGTATATGTTTCTGGACTGTTAACTCCAAAAAAGAAGGGGAAATGATTAACACTGACGTGAACTCACTTTCCATTCTGACATTCATTTTGCGCCTAATATCAAGGCTGTAGTCCCGCTAAATCACCTGATCCCCGCGGTCACCCATTGAAGCTGCTCAAACCACGGTCTGATCGGATTAGGACGGAAACTAGTCTGTCGCGCCGAGTTATAAAGTGCTGGAATTCGCTTCCAGATCTTGGGCTTATGGAATCTACGGTCAAGGATTTTGCACGTCAGCTCGCTGCTCTTGGGTGGCAACACCAAACCCTTCTTTTTTCCTAACTGCATCACTAGTTTTCAGTACTTTGTTAACGAGAAATACCTTGGTATTCTTCTTGATTAGCACTTTCCACTCTCTGTTCTTTCTGAGCTTACTTTTCTCTCTTTGTTACTTCACGTAACCGGCCCAGCAGGGACTGCTTGGGCAGAAGAATGGGGCATTACTTGGTTGGACAGGGTGTGATGCGGTCTTTGTTTTAGATTCATCAGTAGTTCAATGTCTGCCAACTTCTGGTTCAACGACCCGCTGTTGAAGTAACACGCACGTGATAATCCTATCGTTCCAGACCCACTTTAACTTGTTTTCAATCGATGCCGTTACTCACTATATTCGCAGTGACATTGTGAGCATTAGAGCTGCCCAGATTCCAGTACTTAATGCGCATTTAAACTGACATTGACTTTCGAAGGAATATCTATTGTCAATATATGGCACAACTTCAATGCAAATGTACCGTAGGTGACAGCGAAGCCGTTTTCTCAACTAGATGTTTAGTTGCTGAACCCTAATCATTCACCGAAAATGAAAGATATGTGTTAAGCAACACTGGGTATGGGCGAAACTTGAGAAGTGGAAAATGAAAAGCAGCACACCACAGTTTATAAACCACCTACAGCCTACCTGGCATCAAACAGTGTATTTATGTAACGAAACCGATACAACTTGATTTTTTTATTCAGCTGTCAAGCGGATGGGATCGCCGAATATACATTTGGGATTTGGAACGCGGAACACTGATCGACAACTATCGAAACACAAGTTGCAATGACCCAGAAATGCAGTGGAACGCAGCGGACGGGGCCATTCTAGATATGGCGTACAGTGATGAGCTGTGAGTTTATGCACATTCTGTAATACATTCAAATGTGAAAAGCCTGGGTCAACGTTATTTTATGCGTTCGATTTGATAGAGCATGTTCAGGGTGCAAGAGTAAGTCTTGCAATGATGTGTACCACTGACCGGTTAGTTAGAAGAGTATTTTGTAAACCGTCGTTCTGCTTTCGACAATCACCACATTGCATGCTCCTCTTCAACACTGCGACTTGATGCTAGCATACGGACTTGCAACAACTTGTAAAATGATTACAGCATGCCCCATGCATAATACGTGGGTAGCCTAAATATTTTCCAACTAGCTGTCCTGATTGCAAACGCATCGACAAGAAATTCATGGGTACTCATTTCTTGATAGCGGTGTTTGGTGTCAGAATTCCGTACCAAGGTAAGCGTGGCTGTAAAATAAGAAGCGGGTAGATGTCAAATGTATCTTGAACCAAAGTGAAGTTTAGATCACGAAACATTCCTTAGTTGGCACAAACTATACCATAGCCGCACTCATCCATAAGGAAGTTGCCTTCCTCCGAAGTAACTCAGACGTTGGGAAATTATTGAGAATATTTGTAGTTCGGGGTGTGGATGAGAGGATTGTCCTGTTCTCCGAGCCGGATATTTCTGTGCAGACGTTTCGTTACCAAACTAGGCAAGATCTTCAGTGTGGCTATTCAGTCCTGATTCCCGGAGTCTTGCAAATCAATACCAGATCCGAATCACCATCGATTGGTACCTGCTTCGAATGTCAATCTTCGTTCGGTTCACGTGAGTCGGCCGAGCGAGCACGTCTGCTCATTGTCGATCTGTTGCCTATTGCTGGCTCAACCTGCAGAGCTTTGTAGACACCCTCCAGCTCCACCTTCAAACTCACGCGCGTGGGTTACTGTATATATATATATATATATATATATATATATATATATATATATATATATATATATATATATATATATATATATATATATATATATATATATATATATATTCACAGTCTGTTAACAAACATTGTGCCATCAGAACCATGGCAGAAGAAAAAAGTGAAGAAGATGTTAGCATGAACTGCGATTAAAAAATATGCGAAACGATTTTTTGGCTTTACACACGCCATTTTGTATTTTTTGTTTTGTTTTGTGAGTTTTTGTGTGCATCAAAGGGATGACAAAATGGCAGAACAACATTGACGCCACTGATGCCTGTTGCGGGCCATGAAGTCTTATGTTTCCAACCACTGAGATTCAGCATCTTGTGGTCCCCAACCTGGAAGACGGACTGGTCCGACTGCCGCCAAACTTGTGGTTGCCTTCTTCATGATCCTTCGTCAGGTCTTTGGCTGTCCATCGCGGCAATTTTTCCAATCGCCCCCTGGGAATGCAAATAGCGCTGGACGTGGAAGGCGATGGGCTGGCGTGCGCAGAACATGCCCGAGCCAACGCATGCGATGTCTGAGAATAACCTCCTGACCACTGCCACTATTTGCCCCAAGCACGCGGTCCCGCACCTCTGCTTTGCTTACGTGGTGTTGCCAGCACACCCGAGCAGTCCTTCATAGACAGCGATTGTCGAAGACCGACAGCCGCTTCATATCTTCCGAGCGAATAGGCCAATTCTAACAGCCATACAAGAGTATTGCACGGACGGAAGCATTGTACACCCTGCCCTTGATCTTGAGACTGACATCACGACGACGCCATAGGTGTCTCAGTTTGATGAACTCGAGGCAGGAGTTTGCAATCCGTTGTGAGACTTCATCTCCAACACCACCACCAGCCGTGATGCAACTCCCTAAATAAGTAAAGCAAGGGACTTGCTCCAGAACATGTCCAGCGATGGTGAGCGCGGGTTCAGGCACCTGCTAGTCCTGGAGCAGCGTTCCACATTTTCTCGGAGTGAAGCCCAAGCCGTACTTAGATGCCTCCATCGCCAAGCAGTCCAAAGCGCTCTGGACGGATTGTGGGTCGTCCCCCAGCAAGGCGATGGCATCGGAGTAGTCCAAGTCCTTGACTTTGTCTTCAGGGTGCAGCTCAACACCGCAGTCCTGGATACCTTCCAGTGCTCTTTGAAGAATATCTTCGTTGGCGAAATGGAATGGAAAAGGTGAAATAGGGCAACTTTGGCGGACTCCGCTGGTCACGCAAATGAAGAACAGTGCGTGCCGCAAGCCTTGACTTTGCCCGACGTATGACTGTAAAGTTCTTTCAGGATGGTTACAAACTTGTCGGGCAGCTACTTGAGTAACATTGCAATCAACAGATGATGTCGAGAGGGTGCTTTGGTCAGCATACTGCCTGCGAACTGAAAACAGTGGAATATGCATATTTCCGGATGTTCCATGGAGCGAACGCCAGCGGGAGAAAATTAATTCGAATGACCCCTACAGGAAGAGTATCAAAAGAATTATCTTCGCTCATGGCGTGCCTGAGCTACCGACATCTAGCAACGAAGCGGCCCACGCACACGACCTGGAAGAGTAGCGTTACATCTGTAACACTTTTTGTGCGGGTGATATCATACGTCAGTCTATTAAACGGTTACCCGTGTCGCCAAACTACAGAGGCAGTGGCCCGAGGATACTGCAACTCACAATGCAGTCACAACAGATGGCCGTGAACTTAATCCTTCCATTGGAAATACGACTGAAGACAGCAGCTAGAGAGATGCTGCCACTCGCTCTTCTCTCGGAAACGACACCACCCGCGAATCATTATAACCGAAACAGCCATTCAGACACCTATGCACTCAGACCCGGTAGTTTACGAGAATGCTACCGATGGACTACGTTCAGCAGGTGCAAGTGAGACCAAAACTGATTGCATTGATATCGAGAATTAGAACCTTACTTAAAAAAGGGTTAAGCGCCGGCCTCGCTTCGGTCGGCACAAATTCTCACCCTTCATGTGCTTCAAGTCAACAAATTTTGACATCCGAGAAGCTTTCTTGTACGTAACTAACACTCAAGGCTTCCTGAGTAAAGTTACCGAAGTGCAGCTGAGTCAAGGATCAAAAGCATGCGACTTGACCGTTATGTCGGAGACATGGTCACACCTTGACATAAGTGACATGGCCATCGCACTGCTAGACATGTCCGTTCTTCGGCACGACCGACCCAGCAAAGGCAGAGGGGTGGCTCTATATTTCCGCAGTGACCTCAAATGTGAGCCCATAGAATATCCAGTCAGTAAGGTACAGAAATCCCTTTGATGTCATCTAGGTTTTAAAGGCGCCGATATCTGCTTAGTGGCGGTCATTTACCGTACTCCTTCCTCCAGACCCGAGATGGAATTCCATTTGGCATCCGCACTAATGCGGGTGATAAACACAACTTACAGTCACATTCTCCTTACTGGCGATTACATCATCCACGCTGTGGAATCCCAAGCATCTCCTGGAGAACAGTTTAAGGCCTATCTATAGGAGCATGTTTCACGTTTCCCGCTGTATGGCCACGTCAGCACACCCATCCGATTCCTAGAAAAGGATAAACCGTTAATACTGGATCCGATATTCACTGATAAAAAAGTAATGGTCAAGAGGGTCATTGTTGACGTCCTCTTGGGTCGCAGCGATGCCGCAGCAGGACGTGCTCGTGTATAGCGGTCGGAAACTCAAGTTACCATGTCTATAAACTCTCTCCGAGCCTATAAGACTCAATATAACCACTGCCCTCAGCTTATTCGCAGGGATACAATGGCTTAACAGCTAAACTTAGCAGTGCGTATGGTCTCAAACCCAAAGCTTCTGTAGTAACACGTCAACAGTCTACGTAAGGTAAAACGGGTATACCTCCTTTTCGCAAAAACGGGCGGACCCACACGGTGACCGGAGGATGCGTCAAATACCCCCACCTACAATATGCTGCAACATTTCAGTGCAATCATTGGCCACCTACCCTATGACAATTGTTGTTTTGATAAGGCTCTCATCCCAACAGTTCACAAGCTACATAGTAGAGCCTAGTCCGGAAAAGTGCCAGACGCGTTTCACCCTATTGGGGCTCGTCAGTGGCGCGCATTCCCTCGGTCCTCTAAGGAGGATCGAACCCATGTCCGCTAGAGGCAGATTGTTGTTTTACCACTAAAACTCACTCATATGTCCTCCACGGGAGAAGCTGTTGAGTTTGCGCAAGCACAGAACTCTTGATGTTTACAATATGCATATGAAGTCCCTAGCGGCGGAAGAAGAGAGCTTAGATGAGTTTTGGCACGATTCATTCAACATTGTTTTGACAAATGAGTGTGCCGAATGTGAAAACATGGGAGGACTACTGCAATATACATTGGAGGTAGTCGTTCCGATCCAGCCAACCACCGTCCAGTAATTGTACTACCGGTACTTTTAAAGGGAATGGAAGCTATTTTTTTGAAGCAGCAAAGACCTGGTTGAAAGAATTCAACAACCTTGCACAGGAACAGCATGGCTTCCGACGAAATCGATCGTGCACTACAAATCTGCTACTAGCATGATCCAGCTAAACTGAAGCAGTATACTTTGGCACTGGAGTTGTAGGTTTGCTCGACTTCTCAAATGTCTTCGACCGGTCAGACTGTAAGATTTTGCTCTTTAAACTCCAAACGTTTGGTGATGGCAATCATCTCCTAGGATGGACCAAAAGCTTTCTTCTACACCAGCGCCTGTAAGTATGGGTGCGAATCCCTGTCAGATGCCATCCCAGTTGAATGCGGAGTACCGCAAGGATCGATACTAAGACCGCGATTAGCTTGGACGTATATCAACCATATCACACGCCTCATATGCTCGAACTGCCTGCTTTATGCCGATGAGATCAAGGTGTGGATGGCGATCAACACCCCAGATGATATCACGGTACTATAAGCCGATCTGGATAGAGTATATGCGCGTTCAATCCAGCATCTACTTCGATTCAATGTGGACAAATTTGGAGTTTTGAACTTACGGCACAAGTTGGCCTACTCCTGCAAGCTCGACAACCAGGAGCTTCAAAGGTTTTCTGGCGAGAAGGATTTGAGTGGTTTGGTCCAGATCGACCTTGAACGTTTGAATCAGACTGAAACGGCATCAAGAAGTGACATCTAACACGTGGTACTCCTGAAGCGCGCATTCGGACGATTCGACACTTCGATTTTTCTAAAGCTTCCTGGCTCATACATACATCCACAGGTTAAATACGCATTACAGGTCTGGCAGCCATTGCTGAGGGGAGATCTCACCGCCTTGGAGAATCCCAAACTCCGGACAACCAAGATTCTCAAGGGTCTGTATAATTGACCGTATGTACGAACGCTTTGAATGCTTAGGATCATCAACAGACAGTCTCAGCGATTGCGCAGGAACTTCATTTTGACTTACCAGATTTTGTGAGACGCTAACCACACGTGCCGCCAATTGCGGCTCAGTCATAACAGTGATTTGAGTGGCCACCATCTCATGCTGGTAGAGCAGTACAGTCGTTTGAACTGCCGTCGAAATTTCTTTTCAGTACGCCTTTGCAAAACGTGGAATACTCTACTGGACTCTGTCAATGTGCTCCCAAGCAGACGGAGTTCAACGCGCGAGTTGATCGCTTACTCATTTCGCTGCACCATCTCATCTGACTCAATGCCCACGGATAAAAACAAATGTCTGTAAACCATGTTATTGAGGGCTAAATTCCAGATTTCGTTCCACATTTTTACTTCCTGTATGTGTACACCAAGTGGAGACACAACGGTTTTTGCCAGCAACCCATTTGCCATCACTTCTTGTGGATTTATCTTGGATTTACTGCTGATGCTACGTACAGTTCATTGTGTTCACCAGTGAAGACCCAATTTTGCTAACAATTGTACTTTATATTTTAAAGTTTCACCATAACCATCCTTTGGGACCTATTAAGCTTTAACTCTGCTACTCATAGAAACCATTGTTCCGTTGAACTAGTACAGCAGAACTACTGCATCAAAATGAGTGAAACTATAAGATTTTAGTTGATCAGCAGCATCATTAACTGCCGTATTTGTTTAACATTTTCGATACTGCCCCAGACCGTCTAATGGGCTTGTAAGCCATTATTTAACTATAATGTTGCTGATCCTCTGTCCAAAGCCATCTGTCTTCCTTAAGAATTTAATCGCGCCATCAAGGAGTATAACTGTTCCATCCAGTTCGCGGCATGTAGCTACAAGCTGTGCATTGATAGATTGGCTTAGCCCCTTTCAGTTAACCGTTATCCCGGATATCGTTTGAGCCACTTTGCATTGTTGTCCTTTCGTCGCAGAGGTGTGTTGCTCTTCTGTGGCGGAAATTTCCGTGCTTGTGTTCCACCTGCTTCCAATCGCATAGTTGACTGTTTTGTAAACAGGCGATGAATCATTGGCCATTTGAACCTCATCCATGGTTAACCAAAGGGGCTGTCACGGCTGTCTGTTCCAGAATTGGGGAAAACACGATGGCGCTCGCTCGGTTTCCGTAACCTCTGAGTGGTTAGGCCGTCACACATGGGATTATCTCTGTTCGGTTTTTGTGGTAGGTAAAACAAATCCAGGATGTGGTTATGCATTCATATGAACAATGTGCAGCTAATAGTTCGGTGGCTTGATCACGTTGCCGTTTGGCTAAATTGGCTAGTATGCTAGCCCGGATCGATGGGAATTGCTTAGCTGAAAACCATTTCTGAAAATCGCTTTCAGCACGCTTATCGTCACTCACGCTTATTTGATCGTGTCCTCCCTATCTTGCCCCGCTTGCCATTATCTTAACCCTGATCCATGTGTCCTCTTGTCCACAAGCCCTGATCTTTTTTGAAACTGCGTCTCTACTAGGCGCGGTTACGGAACTACATATATGAAATTTATCCCCATAGTTGTTTAGCTCTCAACCTCGGAATGCACCAAGCCGTCAATCCATGACACCCACAAGTTCGGTGGCGTGAAGTACAGGCGGGTTGGGTGCAGCCTCACTTATTATGTGGAAACTAAGCAGACATCCAGCCTACGTAGTCAGCAGAGAGAGATGTCACATGGATGATATTAGCAAGGCTTACTTTTGTATTCCATCGCTGCCTTAGCATGCATCGTTTGGTGAACACTACCGTTTATAGACGTAGCCTTTCTCGGCGGTATTTTGCTCCCGTGTATTCCGGTGTTCCCAGCAATTGCAGTGAACGCACTGCTTGTTTACTGTTCACATCCCATAGCCAGGAGTTCGCGTACTGCAGTTCAGATTGGAATGCGTACGTCCGTCGTGCGTGCGTACAAGGCACGCAGATGCACCTAGTGGACAAATTTGTGGGACATCGCGCGGACGTGACCTGCGTCATGTATAGACCGAAAGTAAAGCAACTTTCAGGCGATGGAGAGGCTGAGAACAGTGATTATGGTGAATGGATTACTGGCTCATATGACTGTACCATTCGGGTGTGGGTAAGTTTTACATTAAGGTGTATAAATTTGTGATGTATCTTTGCATTTGGGAGAAATATATCGATGACATGAACCCACGATCCAACCATCTAGCTAAACACTTGATTCATTCATTCATGTGGGTACCACGTATCAGCTAGAATTAGAAACAAGCATGGAAAGCTACGCTAACGAAATCTAAAATATAGAGATGCGCCTTTTATGCAGTTAGAAACCAACGGTCGATAGTACACTGCAGTTGCTTGCCATGTGATTTGTCCCTACTGCGACAGAACTTTGCAGCTTATAGGCCCCGTAGAAATGACTAATGCAGATATCGGTATGCAGACGTATGCATATTTCCAGCTATATGCACATGATACCTTAGATAGCAAAAACGAACACAAGCTGCATGCATTCGGCCACGCCTTCTACCGCGATGGCGTTTTCAAACATTTGATGGACTACGTAGACAGAACGATCTCTACACCAAATGTAAAATTGCATTACGACCAACGTGAACGTATGTACCAATAGGCGTAGGATTTGACTCCTGTGAAGACGGTAATTCGCGTTTTACTTCATAGCTCTGCTATGGACGAATGCAACTGATGTAGCACAAATTTGTCACCCTATGTTTGGATGAAGATAATGTATGCTGCATTGGATTTTTATCATGAGTAAATGCTGATCACTTAATTTCGACCGTCACCTACATGCTGGTAAACTGTTCACGGAGCACAGCGACGCGGTGATCAAAGCGCCAACCGTCAGACATACGTGCCGAGTTCCATCCCACATAAGTCTATGTATACATGAAAAGTCAAAGAAGCTTTTAAACCAGTCACCGAAACTGTCCAATCTGGACAATTTTAAACGAGCTTGACATACTTCGTTTGATGTCGTGACAGACGGGTACTACCTCCATGTGACACAATGCTTTCAAAGATTTCACTTGGCACACTAAATAACACTGACCACATTACTGCCCGCAGTAGGCTGTTTGCAAGCACTAATTTTCAGCATTCCTGGAAATCGTACAATCGCCCACCAGCTTCTCTCTAAGAATATGTCATAGATATTTCCTCCTCAGTGCATGTTGGAGCAGAGACGTACATGTACCAATCGAAACATGCATATACCGCTAGACTTATGCGTCCTCATTGGCTCATCTTATCCAAGTGTGCTTTCAAGTTAACATAGTTCAGGAGGCATATGTGCGTGTGCATGGACATTATTCAATTAAAATGCACGAATCTTGCGGCCGGTATAATCTTTCTTCTTATTTTTAGCCCGCACACAAAAACGGGAAATGTCGTCTGAATCTGCACACTGGTGGACCCGTCATCTGCTTCACTTGGGAAGACAAACGGGGCATTCTGGTTGCCGGAATTGACAAAGATGTGAAGTGAGTTTTACAATCGTTACCAACGGCTCCGCATCTGGCCAGTAAGGGTGTCTTTTGTGTTAAATGGTACTTTGTAAACAAGTCCAGCTACTGATTAAGATTCACTATGGACGCTAGATAATGTACTGAACACTCCGGTAGTACATGAAGCTATTGCACTTAGAACCTCGGCTACGGCTGATGGATTTCGCAGTCATGCAACAATCAGTCTGATATACCGGTCTAATAACATAGTGGAGATGGGTCCGTTGTAGTATCATGGCTCATATATATATATATATATATATATATATATATATATATATATATATATATATATATATGAACTGATAAGATTACGAAGCAGCATGTTCATTCAGTTCGTGGTAGAATGTTTCCTCAGCAAAAGCAGAACTTCAGTCGTTGGGGACATTAGCGGAAACCACAAATAAACAACATATTCGTGATTCTATCTTAGTTGATCTTGTAAAACGGCTGCTCACGAGAGTCGAATCAACCAACGATGATTCAGTCTTGAAGCTGAGAACGATACGTACCCGTCTGACCGGTGATTACCGCATTAGCGTCACCAGATGCGTGCAGCCAATAGAGAGAGGACAAGCTGGGTTCAGTTAATTCGACAACCCCGTAAAGGTCATTGCTCTTGGTTTCGAATACGCAACACGTCTCAACACCCAGTATGTCCAACTTGCGTGTAAGTGCAGCCCGGTGAACTGGTTGTCCTAGATTGATAACGTTTAACATCGCCAGGGAAACGGAACAATGTGGCCTTACGAGGGACTGTTTCTGATAGCCGTCCAGTGGATGGTGCGAGAAATCACCTGCAGTTGGTTCAACTTCAGTGGCAGCACGTTTGCTGTCAATTAAACTTGGAATTAGTGTAGGAGTGTTAGTAATGGGGTTGAGGTGGGAATAAGAGAAACGGGTGGAAAAGAAAGCAAAGTGGTGTCAGCCGAGGAATTTTTCGCTTACCCTCTTTGCTGTCTGCAAGGAGGCTATAAGAGGACGCCAAGTGACACCAGCGCACATTTTGCTTAAAACCGGTGGTACTACGAAAAAGCTGGTGCTGCACTCACATTTACAGCAGATGCTCACCGTTGTTAATCTGTTCAGGTAAATCCGCACTCACTACCTAGCTGACCCGCTGAGGATCTGATATGACCTACTTGCTCATTTAAATCCTCTGCAACTGTTAACGCTGTGAGGCAGTGTGTTCAGTTGTAGTAGGCGTCCATGGCATCACCAAAACTGCAGTCGGTGGGGGCATACCCGACAGTCACCGAGAAACAATGTGTACTGCAACATCGTGAATCAGTTTTAGTAGATGATGTCAAACAGGCTGCTCACATACAACCGCTTAAGGGAATCCATTCAGTCGTGGAGCTGAGATAGATGCCCACCAGTAGGTGGCCCATCAACGTTACCTGATGGGTGTACCTAATAGGGAGAGAACAACCCAGCCTCAGTTTGTCCGACAATTGCTTAGTGGACAGTAATCCTAGTTTCTGACAATCAACAGACTGTGCTACCTAGAATGTCCAACATGCGTTCGATTGCAGCCCTTCGACCTATATTTTAGAGTGTGGATTTTGAACACCATCAAGACAAGACGACACAGTGGCGTGATAAGGGGCTGTTGACGATCGATGTAGTGCGGAATGATAGCTGCAGATGCAGAATTCCAGTACAGCTGTTGTCACTTTTGCTGGTAATTGCGATAGGAATTTCGGCGATGGGTCAGGAGGGTTGTTATAGAAACAGTTGGAAACGAAGTGATGTATCAACATTACTAAGTTTTGCTTATCCAAAGAAGTTGTTTAATTGTTCAAGTTCCGTGACATTAAGCGAACACTGGGTGGATGCCAAATTTGGACCAGGGCTTTGCATTTCGATAGCGCGAAAACAATGCCATACATAGTTGCCATAGTCATCGAACAGTTTTTATGTGAGCTGCGTACTCTGTATGTTGTCTCTGAGCAAGATAATATTAGCAGCCTAGCCTTGATCAATCGCACAATTGTTTAGAAAAACCTCTATAACAGAACTTCCTATGTTTTCCAGTACATCCACTAGGCTACCATTGATATCGAAATTTATTTGGAAGGTCGACATAGGTCATCCCTCTTGTACATCGTTAGTGATGACGGGACATGAAGAGTGCTTACGTAGGCCTTCATTCCTCCCGAGGCATTTTAAAATAATTATGGAAGGAAGGGGTGTACTTTTCGGCATCTCAAACTTTTACAGCTATTCTCATAAAAGCAGGCTGTTCTACGAGGTTGAATGCAACTTGAATGCTGGACAAGATCAGTTTATGGTGGCGGTAAGGATGAGACTATTGGAGGGGTTGGCAAAGCGTGAACTTTTGATCTACACACCCTCGAGAGGGTCAGAAACCAGTATTCCTCACTGAAGTGTAGTTTCCGAATCGCGGTTAGTCTGCAGGAGTAGAATGGTGCCAAGTATTGGGATACAATAGACATCGGACTAATTCCTCTGCGGTTAACACTTTCTGTCCGCAGATCAATCTGCACGCCATATCTTGGTGTACCCATTTGCCAACTGCTTGGCAATTGACTAGCAACAGGACTTGTAAGCTCCCGAAGTAGTCCGTTCGAGCCCGCAGCCTTGAATCGCTATAACCATCAGGGTTCAAAGCTGACCTACGCTTCGGTGGGTGGTCAAAGGGAAACGTTTCAAGGCATGCTGCTAGGTAAGCTTATTGGACAGATGCACGAGGTAAGCTAACTAAAATAAGATCGGAACATCTTAGTTCGACGGATTGTGCGCCTACGCAAATCGATGAGCGGTGATCTATTAGCTTTACAGATAACCTGCTGATACCAGGCCTTCTGTGGCCATTGGCCAGAGCGACCTGGAATAATTTGCGAAGTCTTCATGTCGTCTTCGTATCGGAAGCGCACTGAAACCAACATTTTCCATAAAACCAAGCGTTTGCTTGAGTTTCTGGCTGAAGTTACCACATATTTCACCACGACTTGAACCAACTGTGATTGCTGTGCGACGGTCAAATGATTCCAATGTGAGATATTTTGGAATTTCGCAATCTAAGACATACAGCGGTTGTTTTAAAACCCGAAAACCACTGTGTCAAACGTATCTTGCGGGGCTCAATGGCCTAGTGATCATGACGATAGCCGGCAACCACTATGTGCCGAATTCCAATCCCAGCTCTGGCTATCTCTACCTGATGAGTCCAAGCAAGGACGAAACGTGTCAGGTAGAGAGTAAAACCGAAATCCTCCACTTCGGTAACGGCCACAATGATCGGATTGACAGAAGCTGACTTTAAAGTCAACTGAAACAGCAACTGGGATCGCCTACCGCAATCCAAGGCCCGGCGAGTGCTCCATAAGCCGGAAAACAGTTTGAAAACTTGTTTCGGATTGGTAAACTGTTTCATCTTATTCTGTAACTTTTCAAAAGCTAACACTGGTCCTATTATCTGAGCGGGTTGACGCGGCCTATACACCCGTCGGATTCTTCCATTCGTTTTAGACGCATAAGACGACGTGGTGGGAACCTGAGTAGTTGTCGATAAATTACTAGGGTTGTGTTTCATTGTAAGTGTCCACGCAACAGACGTTTCCGTAGTTACGGTGTGGCCATTTTATGAGCGATTCTTACGCGGCTTCTGTTCAGGAATTCACACTTCCTGTTTCCACCTTTGACCAACACTACTGCTAAGTTGGATGGTTCTAAATGGCCTTTGGCATGCTGGAACCAGGGGTTATTTGACATGGTCAAGTAGTGCAAACACGGACGTGCGTTTGGAGTTTCGGTTTCCCCAATGTGGGTGAGCTTCAGCAGGTGAGCTTCAGTGGGCACGAAACTGCGCATGTTTTATGCAAACTGTTTTCCAAAAGAGCCTGAAACACTTGAGAGGTAGTCTCTTAAAAGACAAAGCAACTAACCGAAAAGATTCGCTCCTAGGTACTTGCATCTCACGATGGAGATGCCCTACCATATCGTTCGATTTTTGTCAACATTAAGGTGTCCTGGAACTACCTATTGTCCATCGATGGTCCTACTTATTTCGCAGACAGTGGGGCTCTAACTTTATGTAGTGCGACGGTTTGTGTCCTCCGGAATCCGTTGAACCTTCTTGGGTAGCACTTTCCAGAAATCTTCAGAGTCACTCATACTAGACAGCTCAATGATCATCGGTCACACTAACTCAGTCCTACAATTCTTTACGGAAGTTGGTGAGAGATTAATGACCCTTGTCCTTTATAACTTAGCCATAGGAGATAGCAGGTGACGAGTTGTAAACTCACAGCTCGATTAGGGTAGAGCATGAGCGCCACGTTGGGAGAGCACCTTTCGATTCTCAACTGTTTGCTACCAACTGTCTCAAATAGATGCAAACCCGCCAACTCTAACCCGGCGGCAGGCAGTGCTCGCAGGTGCATGAAATATCTTTGGCAGCATCCAGTTCCGGATTCGCCTGTGACCTCCAGAGGACAGTCACAAAAAACCTGTGCCTACAAAGAGACCATAGGTGGCTTGCGCTGCACCACACACACTTCCTTCCACGCACCCTATATTCAGTGTATACTTGTACGAATAACACGGAGAGACATGTGAATGGAAGGCTAATGTTGCATTCATGATGCTTCTTTACCGGAGTTGGGCTAAAGCAATTTTTTAATGTGGATACAATTCATTGCACTTTATTTGGCTTATTCTGCGTACCTAATAATCTTCTCCTATTGCATACGTCGCTCATGCGAAATGTGGTAAACTTGCGTAACTTTATCACGTGGTACATTTGGAATAACGTTCGGACATTTTGTACTTATCGCGGATGCGCTTATAACCAACTTACTCCATATGATCATTTCGAGTATTTATGTCATCATTTACGTTTATTTTATTCGATATCTTTTATTTGATATCAGCATTTCGAATGATTGGCTGTTGTTTGAGATCCTAGGTGTGGCTGCGCTTGGTGTGCATGTTGAGAAGGTGCCTACCTG